AACAATTTGTTACCACGATTTTGTTAACTGAATGGTTTGCTGTCTCCTTGGTGCCAGTGTTTGCCATGGTGTGGACCAAGTACACTGATTAATGTAAGAAGTTGGGCATGACCTGGCTTTCGTGGTCCTTGGACCAATGACAGAATACATGAAATGTGGTGGAATATTAGGAAGCAATTTGAGAGCCAGACTGTAAGTCAAGGGGAGGGAACTCCAAGGTTAAATTCCCTGGAATGTTGACTCTGCCATACACATCAGAAAAAATGACAAAGTGAGTTAAATGCATAGCTTAAGGCTGGGTGTGAGAGGGCAGAAATTGTTTTTGGTTGTGAATATTGTAAATCTGAACATTGCTAAAGTGTTTGACATGGTTTCCCACAGGTAGTCAGTGGGGTTGATTTACTAAAACTGGAGAGTTCAAAATCTGGTGCAACTGTGCATTATAGTCAATCAGCTTCTAAATTTGGCTTGTTCAATTAAGCTTTGACAATAAAACATGGAAGCTGATTGGTTTCTATGCAGAGCTGCACCAAATTTTGAACACACAAGTTTTAGATCTCCATCAATGTGTAAGTTAAGTTCTACAGGCTTAGAAAATTTAGTCTTTAAATGGATCGAAAATGGTCTAAAAACACATTCATAAGTAGTGATTAATGATTTGCATTCTAAGGTGTGTGTGTGTGTGTATATATACATATATATATGTGTGTGTGTGTGTGTATATATATATATATATATATATATATATATATATAAAGAGGCATATAAGTGAGCACTAAAGGTGAGCTGCTGTAACACCGAAAGGCACCAACAACCTTCTAAGACCAACTGATATATTAAGGTGCAGTGCTAGAATCATAAATTCAATATAATACAATCACTAATGAAATTATAAGGTGCAGATACTAACAATGTAAGTAATGAATCAATCATCACCGGTAAATCCATAAAGTGACAACAGTGCAAACGCACATCCAAAAAAGTGAAGATGGTGCTATAAGTGACAAAGTCTATATATCAATATATAAATAAATAAACGTGAAGCTTCAGATAAAGTGATCCTCTGTGTATCTTCTGGTGATCAAATAAAAGAATTACGCACTCACCAGATGCATAATTCCATCATGCATTTGAGAAATATTACATCTCAGTGGGCCAGCTGGATCCTCTTATGGACACCTCTATCCTGGTATGGACTTCTCTCTGGATCATCAATGGGATGCAGCACCTCTCACCTCCTTTCTAAGTGGGCTCTGGGAGTGGTAAGGCTCAGCAAGAGCCCCAAGAAAGGATGCCAAAATAGTGTGATACTGCTTCAAAAGGGTTTTTTATTGATCCATAACAGGAATGTAACAGAAATGGAAGTAAAAAACAGACTGACCATGAGTTGAAATGTAAGATGGCTGCCGGACCAGCATGGACCTCGGCGGCGTGATGTCAGGATGCTGCAGCTCCTCCCTTACGTGTTTCGTGCTCTAGCATTTTTGCGGCGCCATTTTGTTGTGGATTCAGGTTTCACATATGACAATGCAGGATGCGCACGCATCAAGGAGCCTTATCCTTGATGCCTTTGTATGCGCATTACACTATGATCACCAGGGAATGGAGCACCTGAATCCACAACAAATAGGCGCTGGCGCACGCACAATTTAAAGGACAACATGGCGCAGGTTTTACCGCGCATGCGTGTGAAATAGCCGTCAAAATGGCGGACGCGTTAACACACGCGCCAGTTGCCAGCTATAAATAGGACACACCAGACGTCGGACGCTTGCAGGCACACCCCGTATGAATATGTGCTAGAGCACGAAACGCGTAAGGGAGGAGCTGCAGCGTCCTGACGTCACGCCGCCGAGGCCTAAGCTGGTCCGGTATGGGGTAGTGTGGCAAGACGGAAGCCTTTTCTTATGAAGAAAAACACCCAATCCCGGCTAAATTTTGTGAAAATGTGTTATTGTCTGATGAAACCAAGGTTGAACTTTTTGGCCATAATTCCAAAAGATATGTTTGGCGCAAAAACAACACTGTGTATCACCAAAAGAACACCATACCCACATTGAAGCATGGTGGTGGAAGCATCATTCTTTGGGGCTGTTTTTCTTCAGCTGGAACTGGGGCCTTAGTCAAGGTGAGGGAATTATGAACAGTTCCAAATACCAGTATATATTGGCACAAAACCTTCAGGCTTCTGCTAGAAAGCTGATCATGAAGAGGAACTTCATCTTTCAGAATGGCAACGAACCAAAGCATACATCCAAATCAACAAAGGAATGGCTGCACCAGAAGAAGTTTTGAATGGTCCAGCCAGAGCTCAGACCAGAATCCAACTGAAAATCTGTTAGGTTATCTGAAGAGGGCTGTGCACAGGAGATGCCTTCGCAATCTGACAGATTTGGAGTGTTTTGCAAGGAAGAGTGGGTGAATATTGTCAAGTCAAGATGTGCCATGCTGATAAACTCATACCCAAAAAGACTGAGGGCTGTAATCAAATGGTGCTTCAACAAAGTATTAATTTAACCACATCCCGACCGCCCTATAGCAGACATCCTGCAACGGCGGCACAGTGAACTAAATCACGTGTATAAATGATTTTGTATTTCCGGGTAGGGGCGAACCCTACCCGCGCCGACATTCATGGCTGGTGGTTACCCGACAGCGCCTGGTGATTACCGAGCATCTCCAATGGGGAGGAGGACTGCTTTGTTTACTAACAGTCCTCCCTGTCGGCTCGGGCACACTGCTCTGATTGGCTGTGCACAGCCATCCAGAGCAGTGTGCTTACAGTGAAGCACCAACACACCACCCCCCGTAAAACACTTCCAGCACACAGTTAACCCTTTGATTGCCGCTCATGTTAACCCCTCCCTGTCCAGTGCCATTAGTAGCTTTTTTTTTTTTTTTTTTTTAAGCACTGATCACTGTATTGGTGTCACTGGGGATGGCACCAAGTCAGTTCTCCCCAGTGTCAGAATGCCCACCGTAGTCCCGCTATAAGTCGCTGATCGTGCCATTACTAGTAGAGAAAAAAATTCCAGTATCTATACCGCCATTTGTAAACGCTATAATATTCACGTAAACCAATTAATTTACATGTATTGGGATTTCTTTTTAGCAAAGACATGCAGCAGAATATGTTTTGGCATAAATTTATTACGAAATTTGATTTTTTAATTTTTTTTTACTGGACATTGTCTTTTTTTTTTTATCACCACAAATAATAAAAAATGCACAGGTGATCAAATACTACCAAAAGAAAGCTCAATTCGTGGGAAAAAAAAGGATGTAAATTTCATCTGGGTGCAGCATTGCATGCATGGACCCGCGCAATTGTCAGTTAAAATAATGCAGTAATGCATAAGACAAAAAATAGCCTGGCCAGGAAGGGGAGTAAATCCTCTGGAGGGCAAGTGGTTAAGGGTGTGCACACTTATGTAACCATATTTTAGTTTTTTATGTTTACTTCCATCCAAAAGATTTCAATTTGTTGTTCAACTGAGTTGTACAGTTTATAGGTTACATTAAAGGTGGACAAAGTTCTAAAATGATTTATCTTTGTCTCATGTTTTTACATCACAGAAACCTGACATTTTAACAGGGGTGTGTAGATTTTTTATATCATACATACATATATTGACATAGCTCAGAGTTCGGTTTTATAGCCAGTTTATAAATGATTTTGGATTGATCTGTCTTTGCAAATGAAAGACAGCTATGTAGTGGAAAAAGGTCCTTGCCCACTTGAGTACCAGCCTGTAATACCCCTTCATTACCAGGCTATTTTTTAATTTTCAGTGATGTGATAGTTTGAATGACAATTGCTCTGTCATGCAACACTTCTACCCAAATTATTATAACATTTTTTTAAAGACAGAGCTTTCTTTTGGTCATATTTAATAACCTTTTTATTTTTACTATACAGTATAAAGGAAAAATACCAAAACTTTGAAAAGTAATAACCACATCCCGCCCGCTGTACGTACATATATGTCCTTGGACAGGAGCCGTGATATCTCAAGGTATCGTTCTTTAGTGCTGGAGATTCTCTACAAAGTAAAAGTGATCTGAAGAGTTATATAGCAACTCAATCACCTTTACATGCGGTGGAAGGGGGGTCCATCCCTCTCGTTCTGCTGCTCACAGCCTTTACCAGGCCCTCCTGTCCCATCAAGAAGCCTGGTAACGATGCAACTGGTTGCATCGCATTCTCTAGACAAAGTGGGAAGTGAAAGGAACATCCATTGTTCCTCCCACTCTGTGACATCAGATACTGGAAGCCATGAAGAATGTGTTGCTTTTGTTTTCAGTTTGTTTACAATCCATTACCAGCTTGTAAAGCATCTGATCAAACAGATCTCACTCACATTGATCAGATGCTCTGGAGGGCAGAGGAGAGATCTGGAGTCTATTAGAGGACCTGTCACAGCCCTTGCTATGCAAGGGATACTGTTCATCCCTTGTGATAGCAATAAAGTTAAATTTAAAAAAATTTACGGTACAGTGTTAAAAAAAGTTAATAAAATAGTAATATATGAAAAACAAAACAAGCATCCCCCGCCCCCCATTCCCTGTGCTCATGCACAAATGTGAACATTCACATATGTCCCACACACATATGTAAACGGTGATTGTACCACATGTGAGGTTATCATTGAAAAAGTCAAAGCAAGAGCAATAATTATAGTGCCAGACCTCCTGTGTAACTCAAACTGGTAACCTGTGAAGGCTTTTAACCACTTGAGCTCCAGAAGATTTTACCCCATTCATAACCAGACCATTTTTTGCTATTTGGCACTGCGCTACTTTAACTGGCAGTTGTACGTATTTTTTTTCACACAAATAGAGCTTTCAGTGCTAATAAGTTACACTATCACTGTGCTAATGACACTGGCTGGGAAGGGGTTAACATCTTGGGGTAATCATGGGGTAACTATGTGCCTAACAAGTGTTAATGTGAGTAGTATGTGCTGCTTTTCACTACAGATCGATTTGTTTCTTCTCACTGCTTTGCGGAGAAAAGAAACAAAGCGATTGTTCTTTCTGTTCAAAGCCCTGTGTTGTTTAACACTGAGTTGGACTGAGTAGGTCCCAGTCATGAATCATTGGTTGGGATCTGCTGACAAACTCCGGCTGTGTCAAATTACAGGGTATAGGGCGAGCAGAAACATGGAGATTTTTCGGTTCTGTAGTTTGTTGCCATTCCACAGGTGTACACCATTCGCAGTTTTAAATGGTGACATGCTAGGTATCTATTTACTCGACATAACATTATCTTTTATATTTGACCAAAAATTGGGTAATATATTGAGTTTTATATAATAGAAATAGAGTGCCCCCACTCTGGATGAAGGAACACAGAGACACCTTTGGACAGCAGCATTGTCAATCTGAGGGAAGGGGAATATCAGATGTACAGGAAGATTTAGATACACTTAGGCTTCTTTCACACTGAGGAGTTTTTAAAGCGCTTTTGTGTTTAAAAAAAAAAAAAAAAAAGCGCCTGAAAAGCTCAAGAAAAATGCTTCCCTATGTATGTCTATATATTCACTCCTTTGTTATCTCTCGCCTTGACTATTGTAACCTCCTCATTGGCCGACCTCATCGCAATCTATCCCCTCTTCAGTCCATCATGAATGCTGCTGCCGCCAAACTCATCCACCTTACCAACCTGTCCATATGAGCCATCCCTCTCTGCCAATCCCTCCACTGGCTTCCCATTCCCCAACGAAAAAAAATTAAAAACATTAAAAAATAACATATTAAGCCATTTATAACTCTGCCCCAAATTACATCACCAATCTTTTCTCCAAATATCACCCAAACCATCCTCTCTGCTCCTCCCACAACCTCCGGCTCTCTAGCTCCCTTTTCTCCTCCTACCATGCTCATCTCCAGGACTTCTCCAGAGCCTTCCTCATCCTCTGGAACTCTCTACCCCAATCTATCAGACTATCGCCTACTCTGCCCACTTTTAGGCAAAATCTGAAAACCTATCTCTTCAGGGAAGCCTATCCTGCCTTCAGCTAATAACCGTATCTTCTATTTCTCCTATAAGTTCATCCCTCACAGTTATTACTTTTTGTACCACCAGCCCCTCCCTCTTCGATTGTAAGCTCCAGGGAGCAGGGCCCTCCTAACCCTCTTGTATTGAACTGTATTGTTGCTGTATTGCCTCCCTATATATTGTAAAGCGCTGAGCAAACTGTTAGCGCTATATAAATTCTGTATAATAATAATAATGTGTTTTTCACACTGGAGTGTTTCACTTCTCTTGTGGGGTGCAAACTCCTGCTTGCAGTATCTTTGGAGCATGTTTGTTCAGTTAAAAAAAACTCCCTAAAATCATTGGAAAATGCCTGAAAAAACGCTTCCAAGAAGTGTTATTGGTGCAGTTTTTAAGTCACCTGTCCTTTAAAAAACGATCAGAAAGCGCTGTAAAAACGCAGATTTTGCGGTGGATCAGTGTGAAAGTAGCTAAGGCTCTGTGCACACTGGCTTAAAAATCGCTGCTTCTAAAGGAGTTTTGTGTTATACCTGTGGAAGCAGCTCAGTGTTATTCTATGTGTCCATACAGACAATCGAGGCATATTTTAAGTTCAACGTTTAGAGGCAGGAAAAAAAAACTCTTCTGGTTTGTGTTTTTGATTGGAGCTTTCTGGCAGAAATAAACGCTAAATTCACCTAAACTTTGTACAAAAACGTTCTACATCAGTGGGTTTTTTTTTTTTTTTTCTGGCAAGGGAATTGGCGTTTTTTTTAAGCCCAGTGTGCATGAAGCCTAACAAACAAGCCAAACTCCAGCTCACACTAGTTACTTAAGCAGTTACAGCAACAATTGTTCTTTTCTTTTTGGAATAAAGGTTTTACATAAGTAAGAGCTGACCATTGTAAGCACCCCTGTCATTGGTAAATGTTTTGTTGGAGAGCTTGTTCTGCTGACAAACAGACTTACTGGCTGGATCAGCAAATGAAAAGAAAGGAAAGAAACCCTAAAAAAGAAAACTAATGCAGCCACCACATTTAAGAATTGGTAAGCTGCAGTGTAATAAATGTTTGCTTTTGGGTTAAATACCACTTTCATTTTTATAAGGAATAACAACTGTTTATCCATTAACAGTTACAATGCCACTGTTGTACTAAGCAAAACAGAGTTTCAAGGAAAGGGGTGAAAATAATGATCTAGATCATGAAACTACATAGGAGACAGATTTAAGGGAAACTCTGTAGTGGCAGATCCCACCCTGGCCTACAATATGTGTGGGATCGGTGACAGGAAGAGATGTTTGACAAGACTGATGCTCATTAGTAAAATCACATCCATATTTATGAGAGGGATTAGCACAAGTGATGGACGAATGTCTGCATGCTACCACTGCATAACATGCAACCAAAGGGGCAGACGACAATGCTGCCTTGACAACACAAAGCTCTACACAATACATGTACTCTCATGTTCTCTGAGAGGAGTTCACGGCTTACTGTCAAATAATTACTCCCTGTGGGGCACTATGAACTTTTCTGGGGTAATTAAATAATGGTAAGCTTCATGCTGAAGTGCCTTATTGCCATTACAAAATGATTCATTTGTTTCCCCAGATTTAGTGTGTATGTTTAAGCCAAAAAACAATAACTAGATAGGCAATTAGTGTCCATTGCAGAAAAAGAAAAAAAAAAAACCCTTTTAGATCGTCAAATGAAAAAGACATATATGACATAAGCCAGGCAAGTCATCGGAACACGAGTTACCTAAACAAAGCCAAAACACAGATTAGCATATGTCTCAATATCATAATTCCACCCAATTGGGTATGCGATGCCCACGTTCATACCAGGATCAGGATGTGTCAACCAAATGTGGGAAGAAGAAAAATAATAAAGAGCTAAGCACACACACATATACATGCATTTTACAAAAAAAAAGTTTTCAAAGCATGTCATGGATCATGCAGGAACAAGCAAATCATGCCTCATCCACATAGCGGCCATGACGTGTACATGCAAACTACAGTGTGTATATATATATATATATATATATATATGTGTGTGTATATATATATATATATATATATATATATATATATATATATATATATATATATATATATATATAGGCAGAATTTACTGCCAAGTGTGGTTTTCTATGAAATGTGCGTTCCAGAATCCAACTGTACATCAGCTAAGTCTGTGTCTAAATGGTAAATGTTTCTCTTTTTTAGGTTTCTAAAGGCTGTTAGCATTTTTAAATGCGCATAACATATGGAGTTAAGACCGCATGAAGCTCACGGCCATCATTAAAGGAGACTTAAAAAAAAAAAAAACCTTTCATCCATTTTTAAGTAAAGCATTGACATGCACATTCCCTATAGGAATAGTAGGCACAAAAGCAGAATTATTAGGGTGTTCAATGTGCATAACAAATTTTGGACTTGCTGTATGCATTGAATATCAGTTTACAATTAGCTAATTAGGTCCACAGAATCACGGTCACTTTATGCCAAAAAATCCACCAGCACTTGAGGGGGCCCATGATCCAAAAGTACCATAACAGTTTATCTCTAGTCTAGATAATTTGTTTTAGTAAATCAGGCTCTTTGTTTAATGTGTAAATAAAGGCAAAACCTTTTTGCTTCATTTTGGAGAGAGTAAATATTAGGCCATAGCTGGGTTGAATCTCGACAAGTTCAGCAGGCCAGATCCATTAATTGACTTCAGTACAACCAACATGTGAGATTTTTTGCATGCATTTGTCAGAAAACCTTTACTTTCCTTTCAGAATCAACATTTTCTATGGGACATTATACTACAAAATACTCCCACAAATGCGGGCCATTGATTGCAAACAAGATTTGTTGATTTGCACACACAAAAAAGTATTTTTCTTAAATTCATTCAAGACTATGTTGCAAAAATGATTACACCCCAATGAAAGTCTTAGGAGCAAAGCTATATTTTAGACAAAAAAATCCTAATTAACACAAATTCAACTACAGGTGAGTCTAATTATTCATTAAACAGGTGCCCAGCAGACAGTTGATTATAAAAGGACATTACTTAACAAAGAAACCCCCTTCCTATTTCATGCTGTCAGCAATGGCACCACGTGGAAGAGAAATGTCACAAGTGCTGAGAGAAAATAATGTCTTTACACAAGAAAGATGAAGGCTACAAGAAGATTAGCAAATATTTACTTATCCGTTAGAATACTGTAGCAAAAGTGATACAAAAATGTAATAAAAATGCAACAGCAATCCTCTTGCAGAGATGTCCAGGTCATCCACAAATGTGAACACCTCAGCAGAAGCGTCTTTTGATTAGAAGGGTTAAAGAAAATCGCCATTCAAATTCACTGCAGTTAGCTAAAGAAGTGGAAAGCCAGACTGGGGTGATTGTTTACTGTCACACAATATGGAGTACACTGCAGAGGAATGGCATGCATGGGTGTTGTCCATGAAGGAAGCCTCTCCTATAGCCCATGTACAAAAAAAGTCCACCTAGAATTTGCCAACGTCCATGCTGAAAAGAATTAGACTACTGGGACTCTGTACTCTAGTGATGAGACCAAGATAAATGTTTTTGGAACTGATAGTTTCAAAACTGTATGGCGTTGCAAAGGTGAGAAGTATAAATAAAAATGGTGCCTACAGTGAAACATGGTAGTGGCAGTGTCCTTCTGTGGGGCTGCATGAGTGCTGCTGGTGTCAGGGAGCTGCATTTCATTGATGGTATCATGGATTCACAGATGTACTGTTCTATGTGGAAAGAGAAGATGCTACCATCATTCTTCACAAGAGGTCATTCTTGAAGAATGGAAAAATATAGATGTTGCAATAGTTTGCCAACTTATTCATTTCATGCCTAGACGACTTGGTACTGTCCTTACAAATCATGGAGGTCATACAAAATACTAGATGTAGTTATTTTTGTTGTGGGGTGTATACATTTTTGCATCAACTAATTTGAGTAAAACTGAAGATTTTGTAATGTAAGTTGTTATTAACTTTGCGTAATGAGCTGAACAAATGTGCTTTAAAACTCAGATTTGTCAAAATTGTGGAAATTGTTCTTGTGTTCATTGAGATATTGATTCAAATCTTACTGTGATA